GAAAGAGGGAGAATCAGTTTCTCAAAGTACCAGCCTCCTGAGAGGTTATCGGCTCTGAAGTGGTCATCCTTAAACACATATACATGTGGGCCACCCTGAACAGAAACTGGGCATTTATAAATATGTGTATGTATGCAAAAAAACAATTAAAGAAGAGGTCTTGAATTTGAAAGAGAATGAGAGGATGAGGAAAGAGGTGGACTGGATGTGGAAGGGTAGAAAGGATGTAAATAAATTCTACATGTTGAAAATTATAAAACTAATATTGAACATAAAAGAAACAATTCTGGAATGCAGTGAGAAGGGCTTCGTACCTAAGAGAGAAAATACTGACATTTGATGTTTTGGGGGGAATAATGTGCAATGGACAGTAATTGAGTTTAGTAAGTTATTATATTTTAATTTATGAATATGTAGGTAGATATGCTTGGGATTGGAGGAGTTGGAGATAGGGAGTGAAGGTAGATATGGTTAAAATGTACTACATACATGTATACATTTTAAAAGACTAAATAATAAAACTATCACTACATAAATTATGTTGGGACTCAGAGCAAGAATGGCCCTGTATGCCAAAGCTTTTTTAGGCAATAATAATAACAACATGGAAATAAGCTGACAGGAATTTTCCAACAGAAAAGAAGAACTTATAATAAAAACAAGAATAGTCAACAAAAATGGAATCAAAAAAATGAAAACTAAAATTAAACAAGTGGTGCTATCCTTAGCCAGTTAGAATTTTTTGCAAAACAAAATGAATACTCAATAAAAGAAAAGGCAAAGACAAGAAATTACTAATTAGTGAATATAGAGATGTAAACAGTAAAATATGTTCATCTTTTCTACTCATTAAAGTTTAAAATTAGAATACATATTTTCAATCATAATTTAAAAAGATAAAATTAAATAATTGTCTCTGACTTATACATGATTATCTGCTAGTTGTCCAGATTGCTAATATATAATAATATATCACTGAATAGCTTCTCAGATAACTAAGAATTTTCATGAATATTTATTTCTATGATTGTTAAGAAATATGATAAAGAAATTTGAAAAATAGACAACCCAAATATTTGCCAAAAAGTACCTGAATTAATAAATTACTTCCTTTCAAAACAGTGTTTGAAAGATTGGTAACATGGATAGTTTCTAGAACATATCAATAAATGAACAAACAGGGACTATATTGCAATTTACTGAAAGAAGATTCAAGCATGTTCCTAATATGGAGATTACGTCTAAATCTAAAATATACAATCTCCATATTAGATTGCAAGTAAGTAGATCTCACCTGGTGAGTCATTTTGTGTGAGCCACATCTGAACAGATAGACAAATGTTTTATCTTAAGTAGTAAATTTTACAGCATAAATTATTCTTCTTGAGACTGACCTCTTTGTAAGGCATAATGGGCAACAGGGATATGCCTTTACTATAAAATTGAAATTAAATATTAAAAACAATTGAATTTGTTTCCATATATAGAAGTTATAGCTACCATTCTAAAAATGTAACAATGGCAAAATGATCCCTTTTTTATAAACATAAGTTAATGCGCAAATGTATTATAACATACAACATTTTATTTTTGAAATATGCAGCAAATGGGTGGTTTTTGATGCACACACAAACACACACACACAGAGATAAGTATATGCATATATGTATACCTCGACTTTTATGTAGGAATGCAATATTTGAAAATATTAAAGATATATAGGAAGCTTAAAGACTCTTTTTCAACTGTCTCATTAAAGATAAACTATCTACCTTACATGCAAAGGGGGATAAACACTCTGAAGCACGCAGTCAGCTTGGAAATTCCTAGTGATGGAGCTCCCTAGAAAACCTAGTTCTCAAAATTTACTTCAGTTATTCCACTGACAAGAACAATATCAGCCACCTCCATCTCTAGGATAGAACCATTACTTTTCCTCAGAAACCAGTTTATCTCTTTTAAAAATCCAATCTCTCTTCGTTACTGACACCTGAACATGTTGTCTATTTAGCCAATTTTCTAGGCCAAGAAAACAACAGTTCCCTAGTACACTCTAAATCTCCGGACCCCAGAAGATTATATCAAATAGATGAGGTCTAGAATTGAGGCTTTCCAGGGAGTAGTAAGAGCCATTTTGCCTAGAAGGTGTCTCGGCTTTTAAAACTAAGTGATGTGAACTTCCTTGGAATGCTTTGTTACTGAAGATTAGGTAAGATCCATTCCCTCTAAAGGTTGATGATTGCTTTTATTTGGGGAGGAGATCATAATTCAAGCTTGACAATGTATTACTATTATTACTTTCAATGAGAAAGTGAAGCTTTAAAAACTGAACATTCTATTTTCATTGCCCTAGGATAAGTAATGGAGGTGATTACAGAATGCCAACTTTAGTAAACATTTTCACGAAAGAAGACCTAGAAAGACAGCTGACAGGTAAATGTTGACCTTCAGTGGTATTTTTATTCTTTGCCTCAAATGATTAGGGCCTTTAGCTATGTTTTTCTTTTCATATATAAGTCCTCTTACGCATCCCATGAGTTTATTGCAACACCACAACCCCAGCTGTTTCTTGAAGACATTTTAGAAATTGACTTTTAGGTAAATCCTTTCTTGTTCTGAGAGTTGAAATGCTTTTTATTTGTACAAACTTCCCTAGAATTTATATTCTATTTCTAATTTTAAATGTTAAAATGATATATTATCCCACTAATATAATATATGTCACACTATCAAGCAGAAACTGTAAATGTTTCATGATGAAAACAGTTAAAAATAAAAGAAAAAATAATTCAAAACATTTTATATATGAACACTAAAGTTATTTTTATTTTCATTAATAACTTTGCAAAATAAAAATAAACCTCAAATACATACAGTATCCTGAAAATATGAGTTATTTCATATTATGAATACAGGTTAATATTATTCATTTTTATCCTATAGGATTGGGATTCCTCTCTGTATGCTGTGAATATGTTTTCTTGCCATTGGTTAATAAAGAAGCTGCTGTGGCCTATGGCAGGGCAGAATATAACCAGGTGGGAAATCTGAACAAAAATGAGAGTAGGCAGAGTCAAAGAGATGCCATGTAGCTGCCAAAGGAGAAAGATGCTTCAAACCTTACTGGTAGGCCACAGCCTCGTGGTGATACATAGATAAATAAAAATGAGTTAATTTCTCATTAGAGCTAGCTAGGCATATACCTGAGTCATTGGTCTAACATTGTTGTAATTCGTATAGTTTCTGTGTGATGAATTGGGTCTGCACAGCCAGAAAGCAAAGCAGGGTCTCCACCTACACTTATATATCCCGAGATACTAAATAGTTCAAAGATAAATTAATAAGCTTTATATAGAGTTTGCAAATGTCTTCAGGACATATACTAATATGTAGTGAAGATAGTCTAAACTTCATTTTTTTATCTAATCAGATTTTAAACTATTTTTCTTATATTTTAAAAAATTATTATATGAGCTTGTAGCAGGAAAAATAACATTCTCACCATACCATGGTGATAATAATTAGAATAATTAATGTAAAATATGTTTGAATTTTTTTTATTTAGATATTCAAACAGAATTTTGTTACATATAACACTGTTTTGAAGCTGTTTGCAATTAAGTTAGTTAACACATAAAAATTAGATGAATTGTCAGAACATAAGCTTTAGAACTAAATACATTTCATCATATTATATATAAATATATTTATATATTGTATTTATTGTGCCTTGAGATTCACCTTCTGGCTCTCCTTGCTGGCTCATATTAGACAGTTTGCTTCAGTTTCTGTAGGTTTCAGATTCTTTGTTGGGAAAACAGATATTTTGTTTATATAATATTTTAATATCTTCCATGTTTTGTGTCATTTTGCATTTTTCTTTGTAGCATGTGAATTGCTACTCCGCAGGTTTCTTGGAGGCCATGGTATCCTGAAAGCATTTCTTTAGGTTGTTTCCTCTGATTGGGTCCTCAAAAAAACAAAACAAAACAAAACAAAACAAAACAAAACAAAACAAAAAACCGTCTTTACTTTAGTCCTGCACCTAATAATATCCTAAAGGGAACATGTGTGCATGAACAAATCACAGTTAGATGCTAGTACATTCTACCTCGATAAAGGAACACAAAGCATTATTCATGCTCACTGTCCTTATTGATCACAGCAAAGAGGCTGAAGAAAATCACAGAGCTGAGAACTGTGATATAAACTAGTCTCTAATTTCTACAACCTAAACGCAATAATGCTTTAGGTTTCTGCACATTTTTTCAAACCTGTTTCTAATTAAATAATTTTGATTTGCTAAATATTGCTTATAATTACAAATAGCTCTTCCATAGTCAAATTCAAAATTATCTACCTTTAATTTTTGCAAGCAAAAGCTGCACTGTACATAATTTAGCAATACTATTTGATATAACTTTTTTGAATAATGAAGTTCTTTTTATTTATTGAAAAAAAAGTTTCTTCATGAAAATATATTTGATCAGAAGGACTGGTTCAGCATGGCACTCTGATTTCATCACACATGGTTCCCTGAAGTAACACAGGCCCTAGACATCAAGACAAACCCCAGCTACAACCACAGACCCTAACATAGCCCTTGGCAGCAACTTGGCCCAGACAAAAATTCTGGCTCCAGCTTGTAGGACCGGCGCTCAGATCAGGATGGCTCTGGCAGGAGCATGGCTCCCGGACACCAACAAAGCCACAACCCAACACCAGGTTTCTGTGTGACCTTTGGTGCCAACAAGTACCTCAGACTTCAACACAGAACACAGCCACGAGGACCCAGACCTAATTCTGAGCAGCAGCCAGATCTGGATGTCACCATTGCCCCAGAGGGCAGTGCATGGCCCTTGGACACTAACATGACCCCAGACCTCAGGAGTCCACATGGCTTTCAGGGATAACTGGAAACTCAAACACCAACACAGACGCTGGCTACAGTAGGGCTACAAACCCAAACATGACCCTCAGCTGAAGCATTGAACGTCACCATGGCATGGGGTGAAATAGTCCAGGACACTCAAAACTGTATGGCCCCAGCTCCAGCATGGCCCTCAGAGACCGTCACAGACTCGGGTGGCTGGCAGTGGAGGAGTGCTCCTCTTACTTTGCATCCTCTCCAGCATGAACTGCCATTGGTGTTTCGGATCTTTGTCATTATGACTGGTCTAAAATGGTATCTCAGAGTTATTTTGATTTACATATCCCTGGTGGCTAAGGATGCTGGGCAAATCCTTAAGTGTCTTTCAGTCATTTGCCATCCTTCTGTTGAGAATTCTCTGTTTAGTTATGTACCCCATGTTTATGGGATTATTTGGTAATTGATGTCTAGTTTCTTAAGTCTCTTATCTATTTTGGAGATCAGTCCTCTGGCGATGTGCTAAGGATCTGTTCCCATTCAGTAGGCTACTCTTTGTCTTGTTGACTCTGCCTTTTGCTTTACAGAAGCTTCTCAATTTCAGCAGGTCCCATTTATTAACTGTTGTTCTCAGTGTCTGTGCTACTGGTATTATATTTAGCAAGTGGTCTCCTGTGCACCTGCTTTCAAGGCTACTTCTCGCTTTCACTTTTCAGTGAGGTTCAGTGTAGCTGGTTTTATGTTGAGATCTCTGATCCATTTGTACTTACTCCTGTGCATGGGGATAGATATGGATCTATTTGCATTCTTTCACATGTTAACATCCATTTAAGCCAGCAGTATTTGTTGAAGAAGCCTTCTTTATTTAAAATTTTTTATCACTGAATTTTTTTACATGTGTCAACACTCTAATAAGGACGTGCTATGCATTTTGCTCTAGGAAGGTAAATGAAGAAAAGACAGGGTAGTTATCTGGAACTTCTTAGTTCTTGCCTTTAGGTGGTGTTCACTAAGAGTTTCTAAATGCACTTAAAAATTAAATATATATTTCCTTATGAGGACATCTGAAGAAAGGACAGCTTTCTAAAATATATCATCCTTTTAATGTTTAAATGGATGGATCTAGAAGGAAACATATTGATTGAGGTAACTCACACCCAGAAAGACAAATATACTATGTAATCATTCAGAAGTGGCTTTTACATATAAAGCAAAGGAAAACAAGACCACAAGTCACTACCCCAGAGAAACTAGACAACAAAGAGGATCCTAAGACATATCTATAAGGATCTACATAGGAAGGTGAAAAAGAAAGGTTCTTCTGAGTAATTTCGGTACATAGAGGTCACTGGAGAGGGTAGATGGGAGAGAAGGAAGGAGGAAAGGGAATGGATAGTGTAGCTCAATAAAAACAATTTAAAGAAGAAAACAAAGAGAGAAGAGCCCATCAAAATCTAAAATTACAATATATAGGAGGCTATATGGGAAAATCTATTCCTTATTTAACAAAAATAGCAAAATATGTTTTCTTTATCTAAAAAAATATGCTGTGTAGAAAACTGTGAATTTGAAAAGACATAGATACAAAAACCTAAAGATAATCCAAGTTGTTATTTTTGTGTGACTATTTGAATATGTTGAGAAATTCTTGAGATTTAGGAATATGGACATAAGTGATTTGCTGTGAGGAATCTAGGAATAAACAAAACAAGTAGTTGTGAGCACAGAAGGTTAAATAAATGAAATCAAATTGATTTATATAGTTAGCCAAGCAATACACAAAGATTTATCTTATTTTTAACAAGCATTTGTGTGTTTAAAATAATAATAATAACATACAGAGAGTAAAACTACGTATCTTTATTTATGAGGTTAAACATTTAGCTTAAATATTGAAATAACTTAAAATCTATTTATATGTAATATAAATAATATTCACATGCATCCTGTATATTTGGCATAAGCATATTTGCATTGTATATACAATGGCAGTCTACATTCTTTTTGTTTTTATGAAAAGAATTACATTTTAAAACAATGAAGAGTTTGAGTATGGATTGGAACATTAGCTAGTTATAGTAACCATCACTCTCTAAACCATGAGTGCAGAGGTGAAGAAATAAACGTTGGAGGCAGATTAATTGACTAAACATTGTGTCCTGTAGTATTCACATGGTAGATGTGAATACTCAGAAAACACATTTGGTTTTTCCTAATTTCACCCACTCCTCATATAATTCCTGATGATAAAATTACACACATCATTCAACACCTGGCACATAATCAATACAAAGTAGTTATTATTGGTATTCATTGTTTGGGAGTTAGGATTTTTCTGAAAGAGAGAAAAAATGTCATTTGTTACAAATTGATTTCAAAAAATAAGTTTCAACTCTTAGGAGATAAGTTATAGAGACTGCCGAGGAAGCTCAGTAGGGAATAGTGGCTGACTCATAGTCAGCTGACCTGAATCTATTCCTCAGGAATCACACTGTAGAAAGAAAGAGGTGATTTTTCCAACTAGCCTTCTAACCTACACCCACGTGCCTACCACATACACATGGTCACATAAAATAAACAAGTATCATGAAAAGTAAACAATTTCTATTTTAAATCATCTGAGCTTATTTCATCTCAAAGCCACTGATAGGAAAAATTGATTAACTCACATGGTGTATGAGTCAAATGGGCTAGCAGATCCATTATTCACCCCTGGAAACTGCATTCAAATGCTCCGTTCAGTTGTGAGTAAAAATGGATGTAATGATTTGCTTGGTTAATTGCCACATTATCACAATGCTTCCATGCAAGTTACTATAATTCATTATGATTGCTAGGCTGTCAATCTATGTTCAAAATTAAGCCAGGATCCAAATTATCGCATTGCTTTAAAATTCTTCTGGATACACCATAGATGTGTGCATATATTCTACTGCCAATATCATCATATTCCAAAAACGTCTCATTCCTGGCCATATTACAGAGCTGCTACTTTCAAAATCGCTTAAAAGTGAGAAAGAACGGCTATGAGTTTTAAAGAAATATTTATGCCTAGGACTAAACCCATTAATTTCAGTTTGATTGATCATGGGTTGAGCCAAAGCATTGATATTTAAAGAATAAAATAAATGAATTCTCAGCAGATATTCTTTGGTGACAAAGTTTGCTGTTTTGTCATGAAGCATAAGCTACTGAATTAATAGTTCAGATAACGTCTGTGAACTAGAGAAGTGAAGAACTTGGAGTTGCAGGAGAGAACATTTGAACAGAACTTGTTTTGACAACGTCCACAAGGGAATTAAAGTATATTCCTTAATATAATTTTCCCAGAAAAGAACACAAATTTTCTACTTTAGCTCTAATTTGTAACACTACTTGATGCCAATGAATTATAAATTTAGTAGCATTCATAGAAAACAGAGAAGAAATTGAGGGAAGTAATATTCAGATAGCTTATAAGTTATCTAAAGCTTAAACAGAGAAACTCAAAGCAATTTTACTAAAATCATAGGCAAGACAAGAATATTTACTTTCTTGCTACCTATTCACTATAGTAGAAATCATAGCTAGAGTGTTATAAATATTTCAGGTTTTATTAAAGTGCTGGGATTCTGTAAAATTGAAATTGGGTTTAAACTTAGAACAACCTATACCTAATATTTTTTATTTAAAAATGTGATGATACATATAAAAATTATAAAAATATTTTGGTCTTCATGAACATCAAGCATGTTTAATTATCAGATTACCTACCTATAATTTTATTCAATTACAAGCAGCTCTATATTGTATTTATTTACCTCAAGTATTTTAAAGTTTACAAGATAGCAACTTTAATCATGTAAAAAATACTTCCATATTTGATAAGTCAGATAAGATTTAATTAGGCTTTTTGTCATTGGTAATTTCTCCTATTTCCACATCATTTTCTCTTCCAAATGTTTTTTTAAAACAACTTTCATTTGACACAAATATCAATTTATAAAAATGCTAATATAGTTCATAATTTTCACATAATTCCTTATTAATATATGCTACATTTTACTTCAGTTGAGTAAGGACTACCCATGAAAACCATTTAAGTTCTTGTAGTTGAAGAATATATACATCTCCAAGTATTTTTATACAGAAACGTAATTACACAACACTGAGTTACAACTTGTTCTGTAACAACAGTAACAACCATTTGTAAAATCATTGTGCCATAAAACTTGTTGCAACATTGACCAATGGAAAGTCTAGTTAACTCCCCTCTCCATCACAAATATCCATCATTATTGAGGTGCTGGTGTGTTGGGTTGTGTCTTTCAGTTAAATGATCTGTCTCTGTGATGCACACCCACCATCAGCACACAGCTACCATTGATACACACACAACACAGATACACACTCACCACTGGGACACACCCACCAACAATACAAACCTATCACCAGTACACACCTACCACCAATACACAGCAACCACCAGAGTAATTCATAATGTGTAGTTGTGGTGTGTTGGGGCTGTTTCAAACAGCTTTAGTTTTGGGTAAGTAAGTTGGCTACCTTTATCTTGTATATTTATCACAAACATTGTACATTTGTCACAAAATAGCTTTGAATGAGCAGTTTCCCCAAAGATGTCTGTTCTATCAAGTGACAATATCAGAAATCAGAGGACTCTCCTATGCTTATACTGCTAGAGTTCTGAAAGTTTTAGACTCTTGGTTGACAAAAAAGGGAATGTATTTGTGCGAACCTACTACATGTATACCACATATCCATAATATTATTTGTTTCATTCTCTAATCCTTTTATTATATGACATAACTTGCATTATATCTAATGATACCTCACAGAATTTCATTTGCTGAATAGGTACGTAATGATATGGTAAGCATTAATATTTAGATTTTAAATTATAAATTCTAAAAACTGAAAAATTTGTATTGCAAGGATAGGTCTAATTCAACTAGTAAAACAGAAAAATCTTGTCACAATAAGAAAATTTTACCCAAAGTATTATCAATAGCTCTTGGCTTTGTTTCCAATCTAATTATTGATATAGTTGCAAAAGTCATACTTAATTCCTGTATTATAAGTCATATAAATATATATGTACATGGGGATATCTATTTTAATTAATTTTATATAATGATATAAA